TCGCCGCTAGGGGGCGGTAGAGCCCTGTCCGTGAGCTGTGACCTCGTCCTGCCGGCCTGCCCGGCAGGGGGCGCTGTTTCCCGGCCCGCTCCACCCGCGCCCTTTCCGTGCGCTACAGCACGGTGGGAAACGGAAGCAGCTGTGTACCGACTCGCCCTCCCTGAAGTAGGGATGGGCCGGGGTTTCGCTCAGTGGTTCCAGCGCCTGCCTCACAGGTGCAAGGACCCGGCACCAAAAGAAAGTGTTTTAGCTGAAGACTGATAAAGAGCCGCGGCTGTAGTCCCAGCTCCCCTGCGGCTGAGGCAGGAGGATCGCAGGAAATTGGAGGCCGGTCTGGGCTCAGGATGAGTTCAAGGCCAGCTTGGAGTACCTAGTGAGACTGTCTCAAAAGGGAAGACAAGCACATATATTGTCCTCCTTTACCTTCAAGGGAGATCCCGGGGTTTGCTCTTGGGCAGCTCCTGCGCCCCAGCCCGGAGAGCGCTCGGAGGGTTCCGCAGACAGCAGTGACCCCAACTCCCAGCACGAAGGTGGGCAAGGCGACCTCATCGCTGCAGCGTCTGCGGAGCAGAAGGTCGGGCCTTACGCGGCTCACCCGGCAGGTCAGGGGCGTGGGCAGCCAGGAGTGAGCGATCCGCGGGCCGCCAGGGTAAGAGCCACCTCTGCTCAGGGCCGCTGTGACATTTCCATGCATGAAACCGCAGGGATGGGAAAGGCCACCCAGCGTTCTGTCGCCACAGTCGCTGCTTTCTTTGCGTTGGGAACCTTCATAATCTAGCTCTTTGGAAATCTGTACATTGTTGATGGAAGTTACCCCACAGTGCTGGAAAACACCACCACCCTCTCTCTCCCCCTCCCACCTGCACCCCGCCGTCTTCGAGGAACCACCATTCTACTTTTGCTTCTGCTTGTGAGGCCAGGCAATATCTTTTTGTGCTGGACTCATCTCACGCAACCAAATGTCCTCTGGATTCACGTTGCTGCAGGCAGCAAGACGACATTTTTCATGGCTGAATACTATTCCACGGGGCATACGTCCCATGTGCTTTTATCCATCACTGGTGGACGCCTGGGACGGTCCCATGCCTCGGTGTTGTGAATACGCGTCGAGCATGAGAGTGAAGCTCTCCTTGGTGCACCCTTCTTCCTTTGGCTGCGTTCTGTCGCGGGCTTGCTGCTCGTGCTGCAGACCTGCTCTTGGCTTTCGTGAGTAGTCTCCATGCCCACTCTTTCTCTCCTCCCCGCCTTTTCTTTCTTTTTTTCGGTACTGAGAATTGAAATCAAGACCTGCACTTGCCAGGCAGGTGCGGCCCCACTGAGCTACCTCCCTGGCTCTCCGTACCGTTTCCTGTAGTGACTGGGCTAATTTACACTCCCACCTACTGTGTGCAGGAGTTTCCCATCTCCACCAGGCATGCTGGTACACTGTGGCACGCAGGAGGCTGAGGCAGGAGGATCACCGTGAGTTTGAGCCCAGTCTGGGCTACACAGTGAGTTCAAGACCAGCCTGAATTACATAGCTAAATCCTGTCTCAAAAAGCAGAAAGAAAAAAGGTTCCTGTCTCTCTGTCCTCGCCAGCAGTGGCCATCTTGGTCTTTTTAGAGTAGCTGCTTTTCCTGGGCTGAGATAATATTCCAGCGTGCATTTTCCTGGTGATTAGTGACATGGAGCAGTTTTTCATACACTTGTCCACTCATCTGTCTTCTTTTGAGAAACCCGCAGCCGGGGCTCAGGTTCTTCCTCAGTAAACCACTTAAAATCTTGGTTTTTGTTAGGCATGGTGGCACACGCCTGTGATCCTAGCACACAAGAGGCTGAGGCAGGAGGGCCACCTCGAGTTTGAGGCCAGCCTGGGCTACACAGACCGTGTCTCCACCCCTGCCCCAACTCTCTTTACTCTGCTGATTTAACTCCAGCGCGGCGCTCACAGAGCCCTGCTTGGGCTCCTCTGAAAGCTTTAGTTGGATCCTCATGTGGGCCGAAGCCAGCACAGTTGCTCTTATCGGGGCCAGCCGGGCATTCTCACCTGTAAACGCGCACCCTGGACAGCTGTCAGCGCAGCAGGGGTCCCCTGACCTGGTCAACGGCAACTCTGCCTTCCATCTAGGCCCAAGCTGGGCTCCATCCTTATTTCTTTCCTTTTTCCTTCTTTGAACTCAGCAAATCCAGCGCACTCTTCCTTGAAGATCTTCCCAGGCTCTGACCACTTCTCCCTGCTTCCACCACCAATCTAGGGCCACCCTCCCTGCCTGGAGGGTGCCAGGGACCTTCAGGAGTGATGCTTTCATCCTGTAAATTAGATGAAATCTGCTCTCCTTTGAAATCCAGGGTGTTGCGTCTCTAGAGGAGAAATCATGTTCTTGCATCCACACCAGAGCAGCTTCCTCCCAGGAGTTCCTTCCTGACTCTCCCTGCTCCAGCGCCCAGCACCTTCCTGCCCCAGGGCCTTTGCACCTGTGGCTCTTTCTCCCTGGACCCCGCTCCCTGCAGCTGTACTTCCCCATGCTCTTTCCCTCATTCCTTCCAAGTATTTGCTCAGAGGTCAACCCAGGAGGAAGGGCAGATCCCCCTCCTGTCTATCCAGGTCCCTGCATCTGTCGCAGGAGCAGCCGAGTCCAGTGGGCATCACCAGTGGGCGGGCGACAGCGGCACCCCCGGGCCGCCCCTGCAGCCGTCCCGTGGTCGGCATTCTCCTGGACGTTGGACGCTGGGCTCTCAAACCGCAGGGACTGTGAGAGATACGGAGCGCGGCCAGGCTCTACCCAGCGGTCTCACTTATTTTTAATTGCTTTCCGAGCAGCGGGCGTCCCGTGAGAATGCAGGGCCAACCTGTGTCTGTGTTCCCAGGCCCGCTGTGCCGCGTGGAGCCTCTGAGCTCCGTCCCTGGAGAAAAGCCACAGGGACCCGGGCAGCCTGCCGTTCTTCATTGGAAGGGTGAAATGGCCCTCAAGGTCCCCTGCCCTCTCCTCACCCCACCCTTCTTTTTGCCATCTTGGGGATTGAACCCAGGGCCTTTGCACTGAGCTACATCCCTGGCCCTTTCTCTGGTTTTTTCTTTTGGAGACAGCATCTCCCTAACTTGCCCAGGCTGGGCTTGAACTTGCGATCCTCCTGCTTCAGCCTCCTAGAGTCCTGGAATTACAGGTGTGCACCGCTGGGCCCAGCTAACTTCCTTCTTCCTTTATCATGGGAGGAAATTTAACCCTCACGTAGATGAGATGATTCTGTTCTCTCTCTCTCCTCTCTCTCTCTCTCTCTCTCTCCATGGTGTCACTATGTAGCCCAGGCTGGCCTTGAATTCATGGCGATCCTCCTGCTTTGGCCTCCCAAATCCTGAGAGGACAGGCGTGGGCCACTTCACCCACAAATAATTTATGAGTCCATGAAATACGGTCTCATTCCAAAAATAGTGCTGGCTGTTGTTTTCACTGAAGAAGTAACAGCAACTGTAAAATGTTCTCTTTGCAGACTCCTCTCTGCGGGTCAGGAACAGGAAAATACCCTCACTTCCCACAGCGCGCCAGCGTCCGCCGGGAGCCCTTCCGTACCACACCGCGCCATCCCGTCCCGCCGCGCCTCCCGTGCCTCCCGCTGGAATCTCCCAGTGGATGCTGCCGGCTGCCCTGCTGCCCTGCTCGGGAGGTGCAGCGCCTCCACCTCCGGCCCAGGAGACAGCACGTACCGCGGATCCCGCGCTGCTGCCCGGCGCCTGGCCCGGAGCCCTGAACGCCGGCCAAGCCCCAGCGGACAGCAACAGGCTGGAGAGGGAGCCCGATCTCCCCATAAATCTGGCCGCAGCCCCGCAGCCGGCCGGTGTGTGCGGGCGGGGGAGGAAGGAAGGGTGCCGGGCGGGAGTGGGTTCTGCAGACCCACTCAGACCTCATTTCAGGCAGCCAGAGAAAAAGTGACTTCAGATGCTCCCCTGGAGAAGCAGAGGCGCTTCCAGAGGCCCAAACGGGTGGGTGGGGATTCAGGACCGGCAGGCAGGGCGCAGGAGGCTCAGGGGGAGGAAACTGAGCCGTGTCCTTAGCACCTTTGGGTTTTGACTCAGCCTCGCTGAGTCATTAAATTGCCCAGACTGTGCTGGAATTTGTGATCCTCCTGCCTCAGCCTCCCAGAGTGCTGGGATACAGGCGTGCAGCCCTATGGCTGGCTAGAGATGAAATTCATGTCCAGAGGTTCAAATGAATATTTACATGCTTTGATTAAACATCTTAGTCCTTAAGTAACAAACTGCACGTGTAAAAGGCAGGCCCTGGACACAGCTGGGGGACGCGTGGCTGTGTTGGCCTGAGCACCACCGGGGGGGGGGGCGGGCAGGGCTGGGCGGAAGGGGCGCCATCACCAACACTGGTGTTTGAATTTTCAGATGAGACTACAGGTTCCCCCCATTTATGACGGGACGCATCCTGACAAACTTACGGAGTCCTGGACTCGTTGCAGGTGGAAAATGTGTCATAGCCGGGCAAGGTGGCACTCAGGAGGCTGAGGCAGGAGGATCCCTGTGAGTTCAAGGCCAGCCTGGGCTACACAGTGAGACTGTCTCAGGAAAAAAAAAAAAAAAAGGTGGGGACAACAATTCATTATGGGAACGAGGTGTCCTGAGGAGACTTCCGGAGGTGGCAAGGGCTGTGTGTCCTGTGCCTAGCGGCCTGGCATTTGCCGGGCACTGACCTCATGGGGACGCTGTGCTCTTTGGAAGTTTGTAACTACGTTTGTCCAGCTGGGGGATTCCATTTGCCAAGGGATGAATCCTCTGTAGTTTGGGATTTGACTTTTGTGCTTTTTTTAAAATCATTTTTTATTTTTGGTCCGGGGGATCGAACTCGGGACCCTGCGCTTGTGAGGCAGGCGGCGGCACCGCTGAGCTAAATCCCCCTCCCTGTTGATCTAAATTCCGTAGGCTGAGGCAGTAGCTCCATGCAGTGCCTTCACTGGCCTTCAAGTCCTACTCCTGCAGCCTCCGCCGGACAGGGTGGTGCACAACTGGAACCCCACGCGGCTCCTCCGGAGGCCGAGGCAGGACGGTGAAGGCTGAAGGTCACTTGGACACTTCAGTGAGGCCTTACCGGGAAACCGAGTGTGGAAAGGGCTGGGGAGTGGAGCCCTTACCAGCGTGTGCCGGTTCCAGGCCTCAGTCTCCGGTCCCCAGCCTAGAGCCGCGGTGCTGCCCCAGCGCGGTTCCTCCCGGTGCCCCGAGGTCTCCTCTCACAGCCCTGCACGAAGCTGTCTGGACCAACCGGAGAGGCTGCGGCACAGCCCCGGCACCCGTTCCCTCGGGCTCGGCGGCCTGGGGCCATAGTCCGCGCACAAAAACACGCCTGTCCCCCGTGGCTGGTGTCATCTTGCCCCCTCGGTCTCCAGTGCCGAGGCCCTTGCCACCTTCGCTCCGTGTCAGTCTAGTGGGCAGTCAGAGTTCCTAAGCACAGATTTTTTTTTTTTTTTTTTTTTTTTTTTTTTGATACCCAAGATGGAACTCAGGTCCTTGTGCTCCCGAGGCAAGCGCTGAAGCCACTGAGCTAAATCCCTGGCCCTAAGCAAAGATTTTTTAAAAAATCATAATACTCAAGGTAGGTGTGAGGTCGCAGGTCTGGAATCTCAGCACCCTGGGTGGCTGAGACAGGAGGTTCACAAGTTTGAGGCTGAATGGGCAATTGAGTGACTCTCTCAAAATAAAAATGAAAAAGGCATTGAGGATGTAGCTCAGTGTGAAGGCCCACTATGGAGAAACAAAACAAAGCAAAACAAAAACAAACTGGTGAGAAGGGCATGGAGGCACAGGCCTATAATCCCAGCACTCAGGAGGCCGAGGCAGGAGGATTGCCTCAAGTTTGAGGCCAGCCCAGGACACCTGGTGAGTTCCAGGCCAGCCTGAACTATGCAGTGAGACCCTATCTCAAAAAAACAGAAAACTCCAAACTGATGATTCCTTACATTCCTAATTATGATCATCCTTTTCCTCCGTCCCATGTAAAAGCACCAGGAGGTAGAGATTTAGGGTGTTTGGGCTGCCACAGTGGATCCTGAAAGTCCCCTGAAAGCTCAGGGATTAAAGGCTTGGCCCCCAGGGTGCCACTGACAGGAAGTGGCAGAACCTTGGGTTGGGTCTGCCCCTGGGCTGTGTCTCTGAGGGGATTGTGGGAGTATGACCTCATTTTTTATTTTGAGGCACAGTTGCACTCTGTAGCCCAGACTGGCCTCGAACTTGCTCCTGGCCCAGAGGAGGGCTGTGGAGATCACTGTGAGGGACAGACGCCAGAGCTGGTGAGGACTTGTTTCTTCCAGAGGCAGGGCAGTCTGCAAAACACTCGTCCATTCAGCTCCCCGAGAGGCCCTGGATGCAAGGTACTGGGAAGACAAATGGAGCTGTGCTTTCTGTGCGGTAACAAAATGCCTGAGGCAGTCAGCTCAGAAAGAGAAAGGGTTGGCTGTGGCTCCCGGCTGCTCATCAAGGAGGCTGTGGCTGCTTTCTTGTTCTCATGCCCACACTTGGGCTGGGAATGTCAGGGCTCGCGATGCCAGCGCAGGGAGGCACACAATGCTTGCCAAAGCAAAGACGAATAGAAAGGACCGCAGTCAGACCTGGACATGCTGAGTGTCCTTAGAGAAGGGGTGAGTCTGGAAAACAAGCCCAGGTGCTGCTGTGCAGGACCTGACTTCTGAGGGGTAGGGGTAGAGCCTGGGTGGTTCTTTGGGTGCACAGATAGGATGACCAGCATCCTCTTTGACAGTTTGGCCTGTATTTCCAGAGCTTGGGAGGCCGAGGCAGGAGGGTCACTTTGAGTTTGAGGCCAGCCTGAGCTGCATAGTGAGACCTTGTCTCAAAGAGAAAAAAACAAACCACAAAACCCCAACTCCTTCTGCCTCGGTCGGTCCCAGTGGATGCCGGTTGTAAACACGAGGAGCCCTTTCTGCATGTGCCTCCATGGCACGAGACAGTCCTCGATCGCCCCAAATCTACAACAGAACTGACGTGGAGAGAGGAGGCTCGCTGGGTGCCGAGAAGCGCAGGAGACAGTGTTAGATCAGCTGCTGCTCTCCTGAGGGTAATGTACATGTATTTATCTGTGTTTCTTTAACTGGAGGCTGGGCCCAGAGCGCTCTACCACTGAGCTAAATCCCCGGCCCTAAAGTGAGTCTTTTGGCTTGACGCAGGGTCTCACTAAGTTGCCCATGTGGGACTTGAATTTGTGAACCTCCTGCCTCAGCCTCCCTCAGGACTGGGCTTACAGGCGAGCGCCCTCTCCTTTGTGACTGGGAACCCTGGAAGGATCCCCGGAGGCACCGACTGTGTCGCGTGGGGCCCTGGCCCTCCCCGCCCCCTCCGCCTGCACAGCGACTCCGTCTGAAAACGCTGCAGAGGGCGACCTGAGACGGAGGGGGAGCCAGGGTGCAGGGCTGAGCGCCCGCGGGGTGCAGGAGAAGGGGAGGCGGCTGTCATGCCACGCTCACCGGTGCTGGCCCCCACCAGAGGACCTGGGGTCCTCTGAAGACTCCTCTGAAGAGCCCGACCCGGGCTGGGGAGGCCAGGGGCTTCCCATGCGGTGGGACGTGGAATGCCCCGCTGTCCACCTTCCTTCCCGCTGTCCTGCCGGGATTGTGGGGAAGCACAGGGTCAGAGGAGAGGGGAAACGTGATTGTCATCCGTCAGAGGTTATTGTCAAACTGTTTTTTTGTTTTGTTTTGTTTTTTGACACAGCCTCACTAGGTAGCCTGTACTGGCATCAAACTTGCAGCGATCCTCCTGCCTCAGCCTCCTGGTGCTGGAATCACAGGCAGATGCCGCCTCGCCCAGTTTAAAAAAGAAAACCCTCTATCTTATTGATGTACAAAATGACATACTGACATTTTTGTCCTGACCCAAAGATACCTCACTGTGGTAATTTAAGGTGACTTTGAAAAATCAGCAGGACCAGACAGCTTAGGAGACTATGAAAAGTGCTTTTCGAAGGACTTCATCTAATTTTAATAACTGTATCTATTTAAGGTGCACCACGTGGTGTCTGATTGATACCTGTGCACAGTGTGGTGCTTATTGCAGCCCAGACCGTGAAGACGTGTCGTTTGGTCGGGCTGTGCGGCCACAGACAGTGTCCGGGTTCTTGTGCACAGCGAGGAGAGGATCGCACGTCCGCAGGGTCCTGTTGGAAGGGCGGAGGGGAAGCAGGGCCTCGAGGGACCCCTCGGCTTCGGGTGCTTCCAGGGTCCGACACCACCGAGGCGCGGTGCCTCCCGCCGTGGCTGTCTCTGCGCCTAAACTGAGGCCGGGATAGCCACGAGGGTGGACCTGAATTCCAACCCGGAGGCGTGGCGTTTACAGCTGAAAGAAGGGAAGCTCAGCTCCTGCAAAGTTAGCTTTGAAAAAGAGGTTTAAAAACTGCGTATGACGGCGCACCCCTGTGATCCCAGCCCTCTGGAGGCTGAGACAGGAAGATCCCTATGAGGTTAAGGCCAGCCTGGGCGATGTAGTTGGAGGCCTGGACTACACAGTAAGACCCTACCTCAAAACACAAAAAAGTCTTTTAAATTTAGACCAGAAAGACCCAAGACCCTAGGAAAGCAGCTCTTCTGTTCGTCTGAGGACGCTGAGGCCCGAGTCCTGCGCTGAGGGTCGCGGGACAGTTGGGGAGGCCAGGACGGGAGCAGGGTCTGGGGTGCCAGCTCCCAACCCCACAGAGCACCCCTCGAGGGTGGTGCTGGCCCCCACAGCCTGTGGGGGTCACTGTGCGCCCTCGGCTTGGGAGGCTGAGGGGAGAATCAGGGCGCCCTGCCGTCCACAGCCCAGCCCGGCACAGGGGCCCAGGATCCGCAATGAGCCTGGGCATTTCTAACCCTGCGTCCTTTATGTCAGTCACAGGGTCAGTGTAACAAAAGCTGTTTGCTTTAGCCCTTCCTTGAATAAGCGGTTTCTAACGAGATGTGTTTGATCAGGCCCTTTCGGTGAGTTCCCTCTATCAGAGGCAAGGGAAGCGTTGCTTTATTAACCCGCCCCAGCGTCCGGCCAGGGAGCACCGCGGGGGACACAGACAAGCCTGGGAACAGGAGTTTCACTCCATGCTGCCTTCCAAAGAGCCCTGTTGATACCACCAAGGCCCAATGGAGAATCAGGGTCACCCGATCCCTGCTACTTCCGGTTCAAAAGGTACCGCTAGGGCTGGATATGGTAGCTCCTGTCTGTGATCTGATCCCAGCACTGAGGAGGCTGAGGCAGGAGGATCGCAAGTTTGAACCCGGCCTGGGCAATTTAGCCCCTTAGCGAGAACCTGTCCCAAAATAAAAAAGGGCCCAGGATGTAGCTCTGCATGAAGGCCCTGGGTTCAATCTCCAGTACCAGAAAAGACAAGGATTTAAGAGCCAGCTGGAGGAGTAACATCCGGGTCACTCTCTTTATCACCCCCTCCGCTGACACATTCAGGAAGCACAGGAGAGCTCTAGCGTCACAACTTGTAGAATTCGAAGCCACAGCGTAGAAGAAAATCCTGGCGATACCAAAAAAACAATCACTTCCTAAGTTGAACGGT